AAGAGTATTTTATTTTAAGTAATGAAGATTTTAAAATTATTGAAAATGTAAATGAAATGTTAAATGATATGCACATGTATAAATTTCAAGAATTATCAAAAAATGATTCAAATTCTTTTTTCATTTTGAAAGTACTTTGTATTTACAAATGCTTGATTTAATTGTTCCAATTAGAGAAAGAGTTAAACATATTCAAATAGTTTTTAGCGGTAATAACAATTCTGGTCATTGGATTTGTGTTTATTACGATGGAGTAAGACTTTATATTTTTGATAGCCTTAATGCAGGGTGTTTGAATATTCACCAAATAGAATATTTAATTAGATTGTTCCCTTTTAAACCAACAGAATTTTTTGTAGATGTTGATCAACAACCGATTGGTACAGTTAAGTGTAAAGTATAATGCAATAGCATTTGCAACATCTGTATTGGTTAACAGTGTAAATTAAAAGATTAATTTATGAAACTGATAATAATATAATGAGCAAGCATTTGATATCATTTTTTGAAAACAATTAATTAAATAATTTTCCGGCAGTTAGAATGTCTAATATTAGGATTTCGATTTGTAGAGAATGATTGGAATTGTCTTTTCATAAATCGAGCTAAAGAAGTTCAAAATGGTGAACTAAACCTTTCATATTTTTTAAAGACTTTTCCCAGTAAAAATGACAACAGAGTTCTGTCTACTGAAACTGAGAATGAAAAGAAAATACCCAAAGAAAAAAGTTTGTCCTGTAAGATGAAGAAATTATCTACAGAAATTGAAGAGGGATTTACATGTTGATGTAAATTCAGTATGCACAACCCGCGTGGAAATGGTTTGTGTGGGTTGACCATTGGTTAAAATTTTTGTAAGATTTTGCCTGTTGTTTAGCCACATTGGACCAAGTGTGGGGTTTGTCCAAATCCCATAGTTGAACTATGGACAAATTTTCTTCTGACTTCTACATTTTTGAACTTTGAACTATGGGCTAAATTTCGCCCATACTGTGGCAATGTCAAAAAATCAATTTTAAGTAAATTATACATTTATTAACATAAAATTTTTCAAATTTTGCAATTGGACTAAAATTTTGCCAATCAGTGGGGAACCAAAAATACCATTTTAATAAAATTAATTATAAATAAACATGGAAAAGTTCGAATGTTCAGATAATGAACAGTTTGTTGAAATTACGCAAAATTAATAGATGATCACTAGTAAAAAAAATTACAAAGTTTTGAAGTAGTTATTAACCTTTTCAAAAAATTATGACATTTTGAAGTTAAATTTTTTATTTCGTCTTTTCAAACATTTCAATTACTAATTACATTTTGTACTTATTTTCTAAGTAATTTTCATTTAGAAAACTAAAAAAAAATTTATTTTTCTAACTCTATAACTTCATTAATATTTTTTAATAAAAAAGAAATATTACTCGTGTAGATATATATTATTGTATATTATAATTTTTTATAATTATTTGCTATTTATAAATTTGAAATCATATAGAAAAAAAATTCTTTAGATTTTAACATTTTTGTTATAATTTTCTCAAAATCTGAAGTATTTTAAAAGAATTTCTGGGTGAAACAGTAGTAAAGTATGTTTTTCATGAAAATTACAATTATTTAAAATTATTTAAAATAATTGTAAAAACTTATTCGAATTCAATCATATTAACCGGTTCGGCAATAAACGTAACAATATTTTGATTTTCGAGTTTAATTTCGCATTTAAAGCATACGGCTTTCAAACAATTTAAATCTAAAACATAAATTTCATTTGAAACATTTTCTATTCGATGTATAAAATTTATACTTATTTCTGGCATCGCAGTCGAAGGGTAAGCGAGAGTGGTTGTAAACCTTTTTATAACTACATAATAGTCGGCTTGACACTGACAGCGTCTCCTACACTGACAGTGCAGAACTTTTAGAAAGAGTTGTATTTGCCCAAAATTTAATATATTATTGTCCATATATTTTACGAAACTAGAATTTGTACATTTAGCCCTAGTATATATTTCAGATGTATACAAAACCTTATTTTTAAATAATTTTTTAAAAATGACATGCTTACTACCGTTAATACCTTTATCAATAAGAACTAATAAAATTTCATTATTAAGGCGTAATCTGGAAAGTCCACCTGCTATATACAAAGATTGTCCTGTAGCTTGAAGTTTCATTTTCTTGGTTGGAGATAAATATTTTTTGCAAAATTCGTAAGACTTACTTTCTACATCCAATAATTCATTGTGCAAAGTAAATGTATTTATAAACAAAGAGGCTCCAAAATATATTTGAAGCTGTGCGCCGTTACTTCCGTGAATTAAGTTTTTTAGAATTCCATTAATATTTTCAAAAGTAAAACAATGATAAACAAAAAGAGGACCTAACAGTTTAACGATCGGAACTAAATGCAAAAGCGAATGAACGTTGCATGTCATGTTTTCTAAGTCGTAAAGGTGTTCAAACCTTGAAACAAATTCGTGGAGCATTCGGAAAGCATTATCTTACATTTCTTGAGAAATGCTTTGTTGACAAAGTAAGAATATTGCACCTACTAATAATTGCAAATGTTGAAAATATTCTTGAGGTAGTAAATCTTCTAATATTGGAAGCGAATAATAAAAAAAGAACGTTTTATACATTGATGCTTTCCATAATTTAATGTGATTTTTTATTGACAGTAATCGTCTCTGAATAAAGTTTGGTGGACGAAGGGAAGCAATTCTTTCATCAGCAACAGTAACAGCTTCAAAAATAGAGAAACGTTCACCAGCAAACTGAGGATCAAACCAAAAGGCCATTAATGCCTTTAACACCCCTATAAAAACCATATGCATGGAGTCTAATGCTGTGGTTGTTATCCACTTATAAACTAAGGTAGACAAAATAGTTCGACCTTTCACCCCATAACTTAAATTTTCCGCGTGTTGAAGTGTCTCTTCCTCATTCCGTAGATGCATATTCCTTCTGTAAGGATATACTTGCCGATTCCCTAATCTTATTCCTTCATCTTTACATTTGTGGCACCCAAACTTCCCATTGTATTGCTTCATGTTCAAGAACAATGCTTTCGCAGGAAGGTCGCAGGAGCCACAAATGATCATACCTTTAACATTTACAAAATCGTTATTATCTGGCAATTGCATATCAATGCCATTACGAAATCGAAGCAACTCCTCATCATCAATCACAGACATGAATAGAAAATAATTGCAATCTATATTTTCCAAACATTGAGGACATTGTGCAACTTTGAGCTCAAGAGGTGTTAAGCATATTGGACAATAATAATGTCTTGTAACCGGTGTATGCAAATCCTCAAAATATTGTTTAAATGTATATATAGTAGTTCGGCAAAAATTTGGTTCGGGACAATGTAAAGCTATTAGTTCCAAAATACCAGCAAGAATTGCACCTGATAAGGAAAATTTTAAGACGAGAGCGAGAATACATAGTATGCTCTCTGTCACTTTGAGGGGAGATCCTTCGTACAATGGAACATCTTCTTCCACATTATCGTTTTCAAAATTATTTGGATCTTCAGCAGCAATGTTATCTTCGGAGTTATTATCATCATAATCTACATCAGCCTCATCAGAATCAACAATCGAATCATAATCAGTACTACTGTCAGAAGAAAAATCAATTTCAGTATCTGAGTTTTGTTCTTCATTCTCACTGCCTAAAAATATATTGAGTTGATATTAGAAAAATAAATTTTTTTTATAGTCTATATTTTCTATGTTCTTTAATATAGAAAAAAAATTATTCTAAAATTATTATTATTATTATTGGGAACTTATTTTAGAATATTGTATACTCCAATTCAGTATACTATTCTTTAAAAAATTATATTCGTAGTATTAATTTATTATCTTAATAATTAAGATATACTAAATATTAAGAATATATCCTTATTTCAAGAGTAAAATATAGACTGAATTTAAGTATAAAGTATTCAGTGTTTTAGAATAAATTTCTTCAGTGTAGAGTAAATATTTCGATAAGTAGAATTTTATATTATATTTCCATTCGAACAAAAATTCAAGCTTATATGATAAAAAAAATAAATTTAATCGAAACGATAATCAATTTAACAAATTTTTGTCAATTAGATTTTTATGAAGGTAATAAAAATTTAGATTTCATCAAACAAAATTGCACTTTTAATTTTTCAAGAAAGTAGTAATAGGTTATAATTGTGTAGTTAGCGATTATTTTTACTTGAGCAAAATAACAAAAATAATTGCTATGTTGTTTTTTATCAGAATAATTAAATGAATATTTCACGGTCTTTTTTCTGTGCATATAACGCATTAGTTGAATCAAAATAAAATCAATTTAAAGACATATTTGATTAATTTTTCATTAACGCTAATGTTTTTGTAAATTGGATTTTTAATAATAATTTTTTATGTGTATATTTATAAAAAACGAAAATATTTATCTTATATAATACCTTCGTCTATTACTGCGCTTAAAATACTATAAATACTGGCATTAGAATTGCTTCTCATAGAGACATCACTGTCTTCGATAGTATCGGTCTAATAAAAAAAATTACAATTTACTTTTTTAAAACAGACAAAACATTCGTTTTCTAAAATTTCACATACATTTACAGAATTTGGAACATCTGAAAAATCTGAATCTTCTGTCAAATCGTTGGCAATGCGCATTTGAGTTTTTCTGCTCATTAATTCAAAGTCTTGAACTCGGGGCATTTTTAGTAACAGAATATTTAAAAATATCAAACTGTATTTAACTTGATCAATTCAAAATAAAACTTCAGATAAAGAAAATTTTAACCTTTGAAAAAATGTAGATTTCATATGACATAAGGCTAATTGATAAACATTGAAACAAAAGTAATTGAAAATTCAAAGTGACGTTTAAACTTTTATTGTAACGTTGCCCTTAGTAACAGTATCTGGTACACAAATCTTTTTATTAAAAACATTAAGTTGACATTTTTTCTAAAGTTTTTTAAAATGTCGAAAAAAATGTATATTCTTGTCCAATGGGTTGAGAAGCCAAACGAAATTACAATTATGGAGCAAGCAGAAAATGTAAAATTAATTAACGAAGGAGAAATTGTTGAAATTGATTATCCTAATAAAGGAGTTTTTCAAGCTACTCTTCTTCGCAGGAGTGGTAAAAATAATACATTTTAAATATTTTAATTGATATTAACTTTACATTATCTTTAAAAAAATATTTTATTAATATAATTTTTTTTAAAAGTACAATTTTTTAAAAATTTGAATTTAATATTCTTTGATTGCTTTTAACCTAAAACTTTATCAAATACATATTTAAATAACACATTATTTTTTAAGTCGAAAAAACACTTATTGTATGAAGTAAATTTTTTTTATCTTTTAGAGTCAAAAATATACTTAGAAAAAATAAGTAAAAATATAAACAAAGATGGGACTATAATAATAAATAAAAAGGATAATAATAAAGTTAAAAAATTAAAACGTAAATCAGCAAATGAAAAAGCTCATTTAAAATATAAAACAAAAATGAGAGCTCAATCTAAAACAGTTTTAGAAAAAAAATTATCTGAATTACTTCCAATCTGCGGTAAATTAAACTATTTATGTAATTTAAATTTTAAATTATTAACACTTAAAAAAATTTGTTATTATAAAAAAGTAACAAATAATTCTTCTTTTAAATATTTAATTAAATTTTTCAATAAACAAATTCATAAAATATTTACAGACAATATTATTGCAAATGAAGATAATAAAAATGACAACACAAAAAATAAATGTGCTGCAAACGAAGAGAAACTTACAGTTCCAGTTAAAGGTTAATTTATTGTTTAATTTATTTTAGAAAGAAACAATATCATTGGTTATATTTTCATGTAATCTTATTTAAGATACAATTTGATTTTTTAAAAATTTTAATTATGATTACTTAATCATTCTATTAAAATAATAATCCACTTGAAATTATAAAGTAAATAATTTAAAATAATCTCTAAAATTTTTATTTACACTATCAATTTAGATGAAATTGACATTAATGAAAATTGTATAAAAAAAAATCAAGAAACAATACAACAAGATATAAAATCAAAAATACAATCTGAAAGTGACATAGCTCATTCGATATTGAAAAAGAAAATGAGAGAGCGTACGAAAAACATAATAGGAAAAGAAATCTCTAATTTTGCGTTAATTTGTGGTAAATGTAAAAAAAAAATTTTCAAGTTATATTTAATCATTAATTAAAAATTATTTATTGTATTATGGTGAAAATTCTATTAAATTTTTGGAAATTTTATTATAAATTATACAGAGGATGTGGATGAGAAAAAAGTTAAGAAAAATGGGAGTGAGATAAATACTACAAAAATTAACAACCATAGAAAAGAAAAAGATCAATTTGATAATAAATTTACAAAGTCAGCACCAATGAAAAAATATAATGATACAAAATTGGAAAGCCAATCGAAAGCAAACAAAGCTGTTTTATCATTAAAGGAAAAGAGTGAAGTGGAAACACATGGAAAAGTAGAAAAATTAATCTCAAAATTGCGTTCATCTCCAAGTAATAAAAAAATACTTTTTGAATTATTTTAAATTATCTTTTGTGTCTAATAGTATAACCAAAATAATAACTTTTCAATTAAACTATTTTAAATTTGTTAAATAGTTACTTTTTTTATTAGTGTATCAAGAAGATTATTTTGTTTAAGAAACTAAACAATTTTAAAATTGATAAAGAGTTTATTGTTTTTTACATATTTTGCATTTAGTTTTATTAAGTTAATATTATTAATTATAATAATAAAATATTAACTTTGTACCTATATAAATTAAAAAAAATTATTACTATTAAGAACGGATGTATAAAAAATTTAACATATTAGGATACAAAAGTGAAAAAAATTATGACAGCTCCACCCAGAATGAGGAATTTAATAAATCAATCTTTGATGCTATGTTTCCAAAAAGTAAGAAATAATGAATTAATTTAAAAAACTTATATTTAATTTAAAAAAGGCTAATAAATAGTAACAGAAAAAAGTGGTAAATGTCATGTTTATATATATATATATATATATATATATATATATATATATAGCAACTGTAATTTTTATATATAAATCTTTATTTATAATTAAAATGTATATATTCATAACGCAAAGAAAAGAAATTGTGTTTACTTAAAATTTATCTTATGAAAAAATGTAATAATAGTAATTCGCATTACTGATATTGATATAAAAATACAAGGTTTAAATTTAGCGAACTTAACATTACAATTTTTTACAGTTACACCAGAAATTGTCCATTTTTGTGAAACCCTATGTATTTATGCTAAAAAAGGGTTGAATAAAAATAATAAAGGAGCATCTCGTGTAAGTTGTCATATTAAAATTTTTATTATATGTATAAGTATACATATACGTATACGTATGCGTATTCATATAAAACTTATTATATAAATATACATACACGTTTTCATCAAATAACTTATTTCGCTATATAACAGATAGTGGAGCATGATATGGATGGATCTAATATGACCTATTTGTTTGAGGGATCAAAAGTTCTTATAAACAAAAATAAACTATTTTTATTGAAACGATTCAAAAGTAATCCTCGAGAATTAACTCGTAAACTTATGCTGGAACTGGTGGGAGCAGAAAAATTAAAAACCATGACAGCACAAGGCAAAAAAGGAAACGCAATTCCTGAAGAAATAAGGATTGATGTTTTCAGTTAGTATGTATATATATATATATATATACCTAACTCTATTTTATCTAATATCAAAATAACACAGTAAATTAGGGGGTATTATTCTAATACCAAAATTGATTAAAATAAGAAGCAACGCTTTATTCCATCGAAGATTAAAATAATCCATCTGAAGATTAAAATTACATTCGAAAAAAGGTTTTTTAAATTTAAATAATTTTTTAATTATTGAAAAAAAATTTTAATCTAAAAAATGGATTATTTTAATTTTTTATGGTATTAATTTAATTTGCAATGCTTTTTAATACCTTATATTTTACTGTGAAGTCAATCTTTTAACATTAAACTACTTTCACTTCAATCTTTGATCGCGTTAGACATAAAACCATCCTGAAAATATTTTTAAACATAATCTTATTACTGGATATAAATACTAAAACTGTTTGATTATTTTATACACAGAATACGTACAAGCGAGAAATAAGAATTTTTCCGAATTCGAATTTACAACTGTCCTCAACTATCAATGTGGAACATTAAGAAATCCTAAATTAAAAAAAGAAAATGTTAATTCAGGGGGAAATAAAAAAAGGAATAAAAGTATTGTCACTAAAAAGGACAGGAAGAAAGAAAAGAAAAATTCGAATGAGGAAAATAGTTATGAGAAAGAGAAAAGTCATAATGAAGAAAATGGAGAACGAACAGAGGATGAACAAGAAGATAATAATAATGAACAAGAAGTGGATAGTGAGCAAGAAGAAGATGGTGACAAAAAAGAAAATAGCGAGCAAGAAGAAGATAGTGACGAAGAGAATAGTGAGCAAGAAGAGAGTAGCGAGCAAGAAGAAGATAGTGGTAAAGAAGAAGATAGCGAGCAAGAAGACGATAGTCAAGATGAAATGGATAGTGAGCTTGAAGAGCCACAACAAAAAAAAAAAAATATTAGAGAAGTTTTTTTCCTTTAAATAAATCAATATATTTAATATATTAATATAAATATTAATTATTTTTAAAATAAATAATTAAAATATTCTTTATTTAAATTAACTAAATTCATACGTATCAATTTTCTATCATTAATCATCACACTATATTAAAATAGACACTTCAAAAAATACGAGAGATTGAAAGAGAGAGTGAGAGAGAAGGGAGGGATTTTTATAATGAATTGTTATTATTATTGTTGCACTTATAATATTATATATGAAATATTTTTTAATACATATAATATATAATATTAAAAAAATAAAATTATTATCATTAATAGTAGTTTTTTATTGTAACATTTTTGATTCAATGGGATCAAATATAAAATATAAAAACTTGAAAACATTTCAATTTGAGAAGTATATACTCTTAAAACGGGAGTTAGATTATCACTATAATGACAAATTTGAAAAATTTTATGTTAATAAATGTATAATTTACTTAAAATTGATTTTATGACATTGCCATAGTATGGGCGAAATTTAGCCCATAGTTCAAAGTTCAAAAATGTCGAAGTCAGAAGAAAACTTGTCCATAGTTCAACTATGGGATTTGGACAAACCCCATACTTGGTCCAATGTGGCTAAACAACAGGCAAAATCATACAAAAATTTTAACCAATGGTCAACCCACACAAACCATTTCCACGCGGGAACAGAAAATAATAAGAAAATAATTTCTCGTCTTATTGTTAGGGAAAATTTTGATCCTATGACATATCCTACAATGTTTCCTTATGGTGATCCTGGATGGACTGTTAACCTTAAGCATACTCAAGGTACTTGTAATTTTATTCATTTACAATTTTATATGTATCGTCTTTCATAGAGAAGAAAAAAGCATGGATTGACACATGTGCGTTTAACTATTTGTTTACGTACACAAATTTGCGATTCAGAAACTTTAAATAAAATGATATGTGCTGAAATCACAGACGAAATAAAGAATCCAGAACTTTTTAACATTGTAAAGCGATTTTAAGTTCATGGGCCTTGTGGTAAACAAAATAGGAATTCACCCTGCATAGATCCTGAGATGGGTCATTTAAATGTATTGCTGACAATTCGACGATCGTAGCATTGTATAATCTTTATTTGAGTACAAAATTTAAAGGTCGTATTGACTGGGCAATAATAGGTATTATATTATTATAACACCATAATGTTGAAATAGTAATACAGTAACGATTACAAAAATAATATTATTATTTTTGTGAGATCAAAATTCCAAAAAGTGTCCGTCAAATAAAAATAAATTTTTAATTTTTCATAAAAAATTGCAGATATCTCGCGCGTTTACGCGCGTTTCTTTTAGCTAGTATTATTTTAATTTCGATGCCGTAATTTTTAATTTCCAAATTTTCGTTCGATTAATTCCAAATTTTGTACCTGTTCTAATCTAGTATACTCATTTGTATATCTAAAATTATAATAATAAAATAGTTAATACAAAGACATATTTTTACAATTTCATGTTCTTGTATTAACTTTATATCCATTCCGCGAGGATGTCTATGGATATCCGATGACCCGCGACGCTGCGTAAGTTATCCGGATTTACTCCGATGTTTATTATTTGGGAACAGGTCATTGAATATCAAATATAATTTTAATAATAATAATAATGCAGGGTAATGTCAATGACCCATGTTGAATTCAAGGGTTAAAAGAAAGAATTTTATTTCGAAATAGAGTTTACTGAATGTTTCGCAATTATAAAAGAGCAATAGGTATATAATTCGTTATACCGGGGATGCTGACGCATGAAATTCCATGGCGATAGCGCGGGTCTTGGACTTGCTGTCGGAAATAAAGCGAGTCCAAGACAATTGGAATTTAAAAATAAAAAGAAGATTAATTTAATATTAATTTAATATTAATAAATTAATTATTAAGTTACGACGTTACACAACTAAATCTGCTTGCCAGGTGTCATCAATATCACGCATTTCTACGCGACGGCGATGGAAATTTTTTCTAGCCTGTGTATGAAGTTCAGTTACTACTGTTAACTTTTTATCAGCCATTATTCTTTAATAAATTTTGCTGTGATTCAATTTGTTTTAGTTTTTCGTTAACTCTGTCTTCAATAATTTGCATAAAAAGATTCAAGTCATCAATAGATGATCTTAATGATGACGTAACTTAGAAAATAGTTTTTATTTCGTTTTTTACAATGTTTTGTGCAAGTCTTAAATTTACTGCATCATGCAGTTCTTCAGCGTCCTTAACGTTACAAAGTCTTTTATTATCTATATCAAAGTGTCCACTTGAATTAACTTTAAATCCAACTCCAGTAGGTCCACATCTTGCTATTACTGTTCCTTCTTGACTGAGAGGATGTCCGAACAGATCAATGCTCATTATTGAAATGAATGACATTTACTAAAGCACACCTTAATATATGATTTTAGCCTCACGTAATTCCTCAATAATTGACATAATTTCATTATTATGACTAGTATTGCCAGCTCCTTGAGAGGCCATAAGTAGTCGAAGACGATCAACCAATTCATTTGGATCATCCCAATAAATATAATCTGGATTAAAACTTTTATTCGCAATCATAAATTTAGGTAGTGAACTACCACTTATAGATGACTCTTTTGTAGAAGGAAATAATTTTGATATAATATTGATGTATTTAAAACTACTATCTCTATGAATAGAGTTAGAGGAACTATAGTTTTTTTTATGTGCATTTGAGGTGGTAAGAATTTGTTTATAATTATTCATATCATGTTCACTAATGTATGATTTTTCAGGTTTGTTTTTAAATAAAAGTTTTAATAACCCAGAGGTAATTTTAAAACGTTTATCTTCAATATCTACAATGTGATTTTTAAAGATTATGGTTTTATTACCAATCATAAGGGAACCATCATTAGCTTTGCGTACTCCATATATCATATACAAACATTGTTTTCTATTATGTTTTATCAAGAATATATATTTACTAACTAATTTATCAATGTCAGATCCGGGTTTTAGTGTTTCACCATCATCAGTACTCATATAATTTATATCATCATCACTATCATCATCATCTGATTCAGCTTTATTTTCAATATCTTTTTTCTTTTCATTTTAACATTTTTATGTTTATAATCTGTCAAGTTAATAATTTTTTGTGAATATAAATAATTGAATTTATCACTCGGTTTTCTTAGTTAAAGGAAGAAAATTGAATAAATCGATCACTCCGAGGCAGGCTTTAAAAAATAAAACGATTTACATCTATATCGTTTAGCTGTTGATTTGACACTGGTGAAACAAATATAAATTTTTCGAAGGATATAAAATCAGCTGTGATGAGGTAAATGACCGCCTCAGTCAAAAGAAAACAAAATAAGAGAAATGTCAAGGTAAATGAAATAAGATAGAAGAGTTATGAATATTTCATTTCATTTAGAAATTGAATATAACTATTATTAAGGTTTTGTATATCATCTTTTTTATTGACAGGATTTCTTTGCAAATTAATGTGTATCATCTCTGATATAAAACTTTTTTTGTAGTTACTTTCTCTGTCTAAAATTTTAAAATTGTCCCAATCGAAAGTGTGTGTGTAAATATCATTGTGTATAGCAATTACATTATTTTTAGAACTTATATGTTCTTTAATACGAACACCAACCATTCGTTTTGATTTTCCAACATAAGATGCGGGGCAATTTTTGCAATTTATTTTATAAACTGTATTAGTATTTTCATGTTTTTGTCTTTGCCTTTTGTAACTTAATTGTGGTTCATGTTGTTATTTTTACAAGGAATGTATAAAATGCTGTATTTTTTTGATACGAGGAAGTTTTTTCATAAAGGTTCAGAACGTAGGGTAAAAAAAAATCTTTGGTATCATTGTGTAAACAGTGTTATTTTCTTTAAAAGAATGTTGAAAATTGGACTCAATAGAATGTATACGTTTAATTATATATTTATTTATAAATTCTATGGGGTAATTATTTTTAAGTAAAACTTCTTTGACTAATTCGATGTTTTTTGCATGGAATTTTTTGTCAGAGAGTTTTATTGCTCTATCGATTAAATTATAAATTATAGCAATTTTTTATAACGAAAAAAATCAACTTATTACTGACTGGTATATAAAACGAGGACAATTTTAAAATTTTAGACAGAGGAAGTAACTACAAAAAAAGTTTTATATCAGAGATGATACACATTAATTTGCAAAGAAATCTTGTCAATAAACAGGTAGGGTGTCCTTTATGTTCATTTCATGAACATTTTGCTTCCTCATTATATGATGCAAAAAATTTGCTTCCTCATGGAGGAAGCATTAACACTGAAATTAATATACATAAAAAAATTGTGTTTGTTTAAATTCAAGTTTAAACATAAAATTATTGTATTCCTTGCATTATAATAAATCGATTGGTATGTATGATATATATTTAAATTATTATTATTATTTAAATTGAAAGAGTTAATGAAAGTTTAAAAAAAGGAATACAATTATTTTATATTTGAACATGAATTTAAATAAACACAAAATTTCTTTGTTAAAATGTAAATTTTTTATTTTTTAACTTTCATTAATTGTTTTAATTTAACGCAAATGTATACTTTATACATACCAGTCGATTCGTTTCAATGCATGGAATACAATTATTTTATGTTTAAACTTGAATTTAAATAAAAACACAATTTTTTAGCTAAGACGTTAATTTTTTTATATCTTAAATTTCATTAATTTTTTTAATTTTATTCAAATGTATACTTTCTATATACTAATTGATTTGTTTCAATGCAAGGAATAAAATTATTTCATATATAAACTTGAATTTAATTAAACACATCATTTTTTAGCTAAAATGAGAATTTTTGATTTTTTAACTTTCATTAATTCTTTAAATTTCAATCAAATCTATACTTTATATATATCAATCGATTCATCTTGACATAAAGAAGACGATTATATTATATATTACCTTAAATTTTTCGATTTAAAAATGTTTTCAATTAAAAAAAAAATTTTTGGAAAAAAGACGATAAAAATTTTTTTTTGGGGTATTTTTAAAAATCCTCTCGTCATTTTTGAGAGATAAATGTGTAAATAAGACTACCAAATTTTACCCAAATCCATTAAAACCTGTTAAAGATATCGTGTACACAAAAACTATCCACACATACATACATACACACACACATACATACATCCGGACAATTGATCAGGATCTCATATAACATGTTTCTATATAGAGGAAAATTTGTTTTCACCATTTTTAAAAATTTGATAAACGAAAGGACTACATAGCCTCCTCCACGAGGAAGCAAAAGGATGATATACAAAACCTTAATAATCGTTATATTCAATTTATAAAAGTAAAGAAATATTCATAACACAGCCACACAAAAAAAAGTACCCGGGCCGGGGAATGAGACCACGATTTCTTGATGTATTTTGATGCGCTGAACACGAATCTGAAGTCCGTTTAGCTCCATCACGTCAGGATTTTGACATAACTTCAAAAAACATAGCTGATTTTAAATGACAGGAGAAATTTTTTAAATATTGGCAGATTTGCTTGAATCTTGTTACTCGGGTTTTTTTGGGGTCGCTGATTACGAATTTAACGTTAGAATTATAAAATTCAAAATGGCGGATCCAATATGGCGGACGAATTTTTAAAAAGTAGTTGGATTTTTACGAAAATTGGTATCTAGGGGTTTTGGGAGACGCTGATTACAAATTTATCGTCAGATTATTCAAATTCAAAATGGCGGATCCAATATGGCGGACAAATTTTTAAAAAGAAGTTGGATTTTTACAAAAATTGGTATCATGGGGTTTTTTTGGAGTCGCTGATTACAAATTTAACGTCAGATTATTCAAATGTAAAATGGCAGATATAGTACGGTGGTCAAATATCTTTATGTTTCTACATGTGTCTGCATCCAGGGCACCTCCACGCGGTGACGGTGGGCAACGGAGTTTGTCCGCTATCCGGCTAAGTCCCAGGATAATGGCTTTGATGCCGTCATGGCAGACACACGTAGGAAACGTATTACGATGCAGGGACTCGGAACCTCAGTATCGGCCAAGTTACATAAAAATTCAACTATTTTTTAAAAACTCGTCCGCCATATTGGATCCGCCATTTTGAATTTGAATAATCTGACGATAAATTTTTAATCAGCGACTCCTAAAACCCCTAGATACCAATTTTCGTAAAAATCCAACTACTTTTTAAAAATTCGTCCGCCATATTGGATCTGCCATTTTGAATTTTATAAATCTGACGTTAACTTCGTAATCAGCGACCCCAAAAACCCCCGAGTAACAAGATTCAAGCAAATCTGCCAATATTTAAAAAATTTCTCCTGTCATTTAAAATCAGCTATGTTTTTTGAAGTTATGTCAAAATCCTGACGTGATGGTGCTAAACGGACTTCAGATTCGTGTTCAGCGCATCAAAATACATCAAGAAATGGTGGTCTCATTCCCCGGCCCGGGTACTTTTTTTTGTGTGGCTGTGTAACTCTTCTATCTAATTTCATTTACCTTGACATTTCTCTTATTTTGTT